ATATATATACACACACACACAAATTTGATTACGATGTGGTCAGTTCTTAAAAAAAAAACAAAAAAACTAGTTGGCTATCTTGACTTATAGTAGAAGTCCAATACTATTACAAAAAGAGTATGTTGTTGTTAGGTGCTATCCAGTCCATTCTGACTCATAATGACCCTGTGTAGATGGTTTCCTAGAGAGGCTGGTGGGTTTGAACTGCTGACTTTGTAGTTAGCAATCCAGTGCTCAATGAAAAATAACCTTTGCATGAGGACTCATGCGAATTGATCTAATGTTATGTCAGCATCCAAACAGTAATTGACCATAGGGTCTCTAACAACTGGTAAACTAATCAGGTATTTGAATGTAAAAAGTGGGAACTTATGCTGTGTTGTCCATTCAAGGAAATAAGCAATTATCCTCCTCAGTTCATATAAAAAGTTATCCTGAAGATTTACCCAGATGAAACCTTCAAATAATACTTAGTATTGACCCTGTATAGAGTTTCCAAGGAGCAACTGGTAAGTTTGAACTTCTGACTTTGTAGTTAAGCAGTCCAGTGCTTATCAACTACAGAGCCACACCAGGAGTTCCCACTCTTTACTATGGATCATATTAAAACAACCCAACTAATTAGCACATACCCTTAAATTAAACACAAGACCAAAGAATTTTAATAAGCTCTAACTACCCAGTATTCAACTTGTATGTTGAGCAAATAATCCGAGAAGCTGGGTTCTATGAAGAAAAACAGTTGCATCAGGATTGGAGGAAGACTCATTAACAACCTGTGATATGCAGATGACACAACCTTGTTTGCTGAAAGTAAAAAAGACTTAAAATATTTACTGATGAAGAGCAAAGAGCACAGTCTTTGGTATCTTCGGTATTGAGATGTATCTTAATGTAAAGAAAACAAAAATCCTCACCACTGGACCAATAAACAACATTCTTATCAATGGAGAAAAGATTGAAGTTGTCAAGGACTTCATTCTTCTTGGATCAACTATCAATACTCATAGAAGCAGCAGTCAAGAAATCAAACGACGTATTGCATTAGGCAAATCTGCTGCACAAGACCTTTTTAAAGTGTTGAAGAGCAAAGATGTCAGCTTGAGGACTAATGTGTGCCTAACCCAAGCCATGGTATTTTCAGTAACCTCATATGCATGTGAAAGCTGGACAGTGAATAAGGAAGACCATAGAAGAATTGATGCTTTTGAGTTATGGTGTTGGAGGAGAATATTGAAAGTGCCATGGGCTGCCAAAAGAACCAGTAGATCCGTTCTGGACGAAGTGCAGCCAGAGTGCTCCTTAGAGGCCAAGATGGCCAAACTTCGTCTCTCATACTTCAGACATATTGTCAGGAGGGACCAGTCACTGGAGAAGGATCTTATATTTGTTAAGGTGGAGGGTCAGAGAAAAAGAGGAAGACCCCCCAATGAGATGGATTGACCAAGTGGCAGCATCGATGGACTGAAGTGTGCCAACAGTAGTGAAGTTGGCCCAGGATCGGGCATTCTGCTGTACATAAGGTCACTATGAGTCGGTGACACCTAACAACAACAAGCCAGTTAACCTGGAACTTTTCTTTTTTCTGCCCTTCTATTCCCCATCTCTGGACACCCTGGTGTGGCACTCTAGAATCTACATAGAACTGCGAACCACAGGTTGGCAGTTCAAACTCACCAGCTGCTCCTTGAAAACCCTATGATGGTGGTGGTGGTGTGTCATGGAGTCAGTTCCAACTCATAGCGACCCTGTATAGGGTTTCCAAGGCTGTAAATATTTACAGGAGCAGAAATCCTCACCTTTTTGCCACAGAGCTGCTGGTAGTTTCGAACTGACTGTGAGATTAGCAGCCCGACTTGTAACCACTATGCTACCAGAGCTCCTCTGAAACCCCTATACAGGGTTACTGTGAGTCAGAACCGACTCAACAGTAGTTAACAGCAACAACATTCCCACTCACTAATAGAGCCTTGGGGGCACAGTGGTTAAGTGCTCACCTTCAGAGCAGTTCATACCTCAGCTCCACAGAAGAAAGATGTGGCAGTCAGCTTCTGTAAAGATTAACCCATTGCTAGAGGGTCTGTTCCAACCCATAGCAACACTGTATAGGGGTTTTGTTGTTGTTGTTGTTAAGTGTATAGGGTTTCCAAAGAGCAGCTGGTGAGTTTGAAGAGCCAAACTTGTAGTTCAAACTGATCTTGCGGTCCAGTGCTTATCCTACAGCACCACATCAGGACTCCATTATAGGGTTTATGGAAACAGACAGCTTTATCTTTCTCCCTCAGATCAAGTGGTAGGTTTGAACCACCACCAGGGCTTCTTTCTACGAAGGTTCCAGCCTTGGAAACCCTATGGGGCAGTTCTCATCTGCCTGACAAGGTCACTGGGAGTTAAAATGGACTTGACATTACACAACAACAGTCCTGCTTTCTTTTTTTCCCTTTTTTGCACGTGCATTTCCCTTTCTTTTCTAGTAAACCTCTTTTTCCTTATTTTTCTTTTATATAGAAATATTTTGCTCTGAAAGATACTGTATTATAATATTTTTCCTCTCTTCTATCACCAGTTAAGTAATT